CCCCAAAACCCCAAAACCCCAAAACCCCAAAACCCCTTCTAAATTATATTTTTTTGAAATTCCAAAGGCCAAAAATGCAGAGAATGACTCTAAAAGTGTCTCCTGAACGGTTAATCAAGCTAAAAATTAAGCAATGTGACAGTAGTGCAAATCCTTACAGTATCAGGTAAGTTATCCACCCTTTCTCATTTCACCTGGCAGCTGAGGGAAACCTAGAAATGTAATTCTCATTAATAGGCTTGTAAAGGATTCCTTAATGGTCAAACCTGTTGCAATAGAGAGGAAGACTAAAAAGAGAAATCTCCCGATTAAGTCGATCCTGGCTAGAGTATTTTCCTCGAAATTATCTTTAGAAAAAGCATCTTTCTCCACAAGTCTCAACTGAGAGGGTAACAAATAGTCTTAATGGGGAATTACTTAGATTTAGACTGCAATTTTTTATGACAGACTGATCTTGAAGGAGTCAAATTCAGTCTCAGTGAATATACCAGCCCAAAAGAGGACTATTTTCGGTCACAAATCCTCAAGGTTCGTTGAGATAAATATCTGTGTAGGTTAATCCAGTTGACTGAGGAAATTATGAATCTTAGTCTTGATAGGGAACCATTGAATCCCAAAATTCCACTAGAAGGGGAAATACACCCCTCAGGCTACGACCCCAAATCGGATAGCTTGGACAAAGAGTAAGCTTTGTTTCATGAATTCTCTTTTAGGATTTCTCCAAGTAAAATATCGCCTCAGAAGCAGTTGAGGGTAATGTCATAGCTTAACTAATAGGGTAAGAAGACGATCCTGTTCAAAACAACAATAAAGGACAGGAAAATCAGCAAACAATACACAAATCTTAAGGACACTTCCTTGCCACATATCAAGGGAGGTAGCTCCAGGAACAACGTGGTTGAGGAGGAAAGGATTGCTGATGATAACAGTAGTTGAAACAACTCCCAGACTTCTCTTATAAAGAAACCTATTTACAACGACAGTTCCAACAAAGATCAGAATGGTGATTCACCAAGGAAGAACCAGTTCAAGCTGAGGTTAAATAAAGTTCCAGATGCAAAGAACATGAAGAAGAACAATATTTTTAGAAGAAATCTCCGAAGTAAGTCTCTACTAAGACTCTTGTAGATATAGACATCTCTAAGAACAGGTCGAAGACTGAAGAGGTAGACATACTCATCCCTAAGTAAGCCTTAGCAAACTGATATTTAGGGATCCTCTGCACACAATGAATAACTCGGAAATTTTAGAATTTCAAGCTGCTAAAATGCAGGGGTTGAGTAAAGAACGACCGAAAAGGCAAAAAAACATGCAAATACTTAAGGTTCCCTCATTTAGAGGCTTTTCTGATCAGCATGAGCATATTTGGAATTTGAAACAGAGAAAAAGGCGTTTATTAAGGAAGATAAATCATGCTAACCAAAGTACTATTTCATGCCTAATCTCAAGCTAAGAATGCTAAGCCTGATCAGAAATTCCAACTATCAATGACCAAGCCGCTAGACTCTCCAACTTCACTAGTAAAGTCCTTCCAGAGGACTCCTACATGCTTGAAGACCAAGACAAATCTGCCTGAGATTTCTCCAATAAAGCCAGTGTGGAGTAACACTCCTCAAAATCCAGGCTTGAAGATGAATTTCTCAAGCTTTGAAGCCAAAAATGAGGGAAGGAAGTACCTAGTGTCTAGTAGGATTCCTCATTGATTCTTATAGAATACCAGCATGATGTTACTATCGATAAGTTCAAGCAAAAGGAAAAGTACTTTGAACATCAAAGAAGTCTTATTCTTAAGAGGTAGTCATTCAATCTTGACCAGCTGAAAAGGGGTTTTGGGGTTTTGGGGTTTTGGGGTTTTGGGG